GTGCTTCCCATGTTTGTTCTTTTGCAGTTGTTTTAAGTAAATTGGGACTTAGTTAAAGTTTAAAAAAGAATCAACGCAGTGCGAATTCTTTCCAAGAAGAGTATGTAAGTAGTAAGGGCTGGTCTTGCCAAGGCAATGGAAATTTTTTATTATTTTTTAACTTGTGCCAATGGTGAGTATTAGGGGGAAAATACTTACAAACAAGAACCCAATTAACGCTTTCGCCTGTTTACCTGGCAAAGTTAATTGTGGTCCTGGGTTCAGTGTTTAAGAACCAGTCGGGGCAGGGCCTTTGTTCCCAGCTGAAATAGTGCAGGTAAACGGGGTATTGTCATCGAAGAGGTACCTTTCCCCCATGTGCTTTCAATTTTTTGCAAAAGAGAAGGGCAGAGACCGCCTCCTTGCTTCCCCAACCAAGTGTTGTGACATTTTGTTCAAAGTTCAAAGAAGCTTCTTGGAAGTTTTTTGGCTTCCGATTTACCCAAAGCAGAGGATAAGAACTGTTTTTACAAAAATAAAAAAGATTGTTATCCTGCCTTGTGCAAAAAATCTGTAGAAAATCTGCAGGAATTTCTGGCCAAAACCTTTCTGGCAGAGACAAAAAAATTAATTGGCAGTTGGACCCAGACTATTTCCATTTCCTTTGTTGTAGTTCGGATTTACCCAATTGGTGATTTGGAAACACCACTTTTCGTGAATATTGGGACATTTCAGTGCTTCCATTTCTGGTTAAATCTTTGCTTTAAATAGGCTATTGCAATGGTCAAATACGTTTGCAAAGATAAAGCATTCAATTGGTGACTTGATTGAGGGACAAGTACAGTTAACCCAATTCAAAAAGGTTGTTCTCCCTTATTGGTTTTCAGGAGAGAGTGCAAAAGTTCAGAGGCAAATTTTCATTGGACAAGGCTGATGGTTTTCTGGCTAAAGTGGTGGGGAAGAGGGTATGGGTTTTAAAAATAAACAAGGTTCTGGATTATGGCGATAGCAATCTGTTTAAAAAAAAACGATTTTGTTTTTCGGCCTCAAAAATCTTCCATTTGGTCCCATTTATGGACAAAAAGAGGCCAAAAAGAGGCCTAATTTCAAAGAGCCAGGTTTGTAGTGCTCCCAATATAATTGAAATGTATAGAGAGAAGGAACTGGTGTTTGGGTATAAAAAAGGCCTTGGTAATCTTTGGCGATTGTTGCACTGATTTTTACAACTTCAAGATATAAAAATCGACTCATCAGAGTGGGACAGGGGCTACCAAACAAGAGTTCCACAATTGTCTTTTTTTTCAAGATCCAAAAAACAAAGTTTATGCCATTGCAGGTCCTTCGCTTCTTTGGGAATAGTGGACCAATAACATTAGAGGCAACAAAACAACGAAGTAGGAGACCAGTTTTCTTGGTGTGCAATTTTCCACCCCAAATGTTTTTTACTGGAGGAAAAAGTCTGTGGAAATTGCGTCTGGAGGCCATGAGTTGGTAAATAAATTTATCTGGCCATTTTTGTTACTCGGAAAATTTATTGGATCATATGTGTTAAGTTTTTCTTTAAGGTGAAATACTTTTATCGAGGATTACCAAAAAAAAGAAAAAAAAAATGAAAGGACAAGTCCCACAAGTATAGTATGCCTTTGCCAACAAGGATATCCATGTTGCTAGAAAAGAAACACAATCGGATTGAATCAACACGAGCACAGGCCACTTGACTATGAATTATAGTGGCACATAGTTAAATGGGGCAGGGACAAGAACAGAGAAGAGAGAGAGACTAGTCTGTACTCTCTCTTACATTCTCTCGTCCTCTCTCCTATTCTATCCTCTAGCCATGGTCGGAGTTACCTATCTACTTCGATCTTAGACCAATACACTTTCAACACCCACACTGTGAGGGGAGAACAAGATGGCCCAACAATACCTGAGCCCGAGATGCTTTGTCACGCCTAGGGTTTACGAGCCTAGGTTAAGAGAGTATATTTCTAAGCCCACATAGAGTACGGCCCACGTAGAATAGCTTAGCTTATGGGGTAGAGTACGTACAGCTAGAGCATAGATAGCGCTAAAGATGGCTGAGCAAAAGAACTTCGCGCAACGTTCAGTTGGATGGATTATCCATATTACGTAAGATCTTTATTTAGTCCCAAAAATGTTTACGATATGAGGTTAGTTAAGTATACCAGCTGAGTATATGGAAATTACTTGTTCATGAGGGGCTATATGTAGTGCAAAAGAGAGGAAAGATGACGGGGGAAGCCTGAGAACGCGCAAGGAGGTTATGGTATCCAATTTTTATATTGTATAGGCACAGTAGGTAATCTTGTGGATTTAAACGGACAATTAAATTAAAGAATAATAGAGTATCACGCTCGAGCAAGACAAAAAAAATGTCGTTATGGTCGGTGATAAACGAGAGTTAATTATAAGATGGTGTTCAATCTTTGAGAATTCGAAATAAATAATTTGCGCTGCACGGAACGGGCCTCTTGTTCCACCTTACCGGTCGGTTAGTTAGTCAGAAGAGGCTTAAGGAATACCAAAAACTATTTTAAACATATTGAAGAGTGGCCATTTACGAGTGTCATAAAATTAATCTGGTTCGGCCTCTTGCAATACACTGTCGAGCATTGGGGCAAGGTGCGTAGGAAATTGGGCAAGTTTAAGACGGCTTATACTCAATCATCTACTGCTTCTCTTGCCCCCCAATTAATGGTTTGGCACGGCGCATAAAGAATGTATTCAAGAGTCCCCATTCAGGATACAACGAAAAGAACAAGAGATTGGAAGTATTGTTAATGGGGAACATTTAATCATGATTTTAGTTCATGTAAAGTAAAAGCCCAGTAGTTATTAGTTTGTTAATTCCAAAAAACACCATTGCCCCTTAGTGTTGATTTTTTTTTGGAAGGTGTACCCAAGGTTTGAAAAAACCCTGGGGACCACCAAATAAGATGGTCCCTCCATTGAAAAAGTGTCACAAATGAAATATGTTATTTCATATTTAATTAAGTATTTTGTTTGGCACTCAGCTGATCAAAAAATTCTTTTCAAAAAGCAATTTTCAGGAACCTAAAAAAACGCCACAAGATAATAACGGTTATTAAATTGTTGTTTGATTATTTTTTATGGTTTTAATGGGCCCTTTTTCCCACCAAAGATTGTCATGGTTGGGTATTGGTCTTTTTGGCGTGTGTTCCACGAAATTTTTCAAGGCCATTGAAAAACCCACTGGATTTTTTTTGAAGTGGCATTTTAGCATGCATGTGGGGGCTTTCCAAATTTGGGCGGCACTTGGCCAAAAAAAAAAAAAACCTTTTGGGCCGCACTGGTGGGGCACCCCACAAGACACACTTTGCCTCTGCTTTCTTGGGAAAAAAAAAAAAAAGAAGAGGCCTTGGGGGTGTGGGCTTCCTTTCCCCTTCTTTCGCTTTTGGACCGGATTGGGAACCTTGGTTGTTTCCGGGCTGGTTGGAGGACCCAAGGCTGAGTGCCAAGGACGGTTCCCGTCTGGCAAGAGAAGTGGCAGGGAATCTTTCTTCCGTGTTGTGGGGGGACCCACCCGAAGTTTCCAAGAAATTTTTTGTGGTCCTCCATGGAAAGAAGGGTGTCATGCGCGTCCATTTGCTCTGTAAACTTCTAATTCCTCCCTTCTTTCTTCCCTCCTGCCTTTTTTTTTCTCCCACTGGAAAGGGCTTTGTGCAGGGGGCCCTGGCCAGGGGAAAAACCCGGGCTATAGTAAAAAAACCTCCTTGGCAAAAACCCCTTGCAAAATCTCATTATTGGGGGAACAAAAGGTTTATGAGTAAGAAAAAGTTGTGCTGGGATGGGGTCCTTTTTGGCATATGGAAGGACAATAATGTTTTGTGAAAATACCAAAAATTGTTCAAAGAAAAAAAAACCAATGCTGTGTTGTTTACGGTTCTATAGGCCTTACTAATCGCGAAAATGAGCTAGGAGAAATGAAATGATGCACCCAAACAAAAACGTGCAGTTCGTCAAGGGATGAAAAGCAATTGAGTGTGCTGGAAGACTAGAAAGGCGCTGGATCAAGTACAATCCATTTTACCATTTACAATCAACTATTCTGCACACACTTCAACATGCACCTTTCATAAACAGGCCGTATACCAAGGCATCAATAGGAGATGAAAGGAGGCTCTCTCTTGATCAAGAAAAAACATAAACAGCCTTTGAATCACTCCTAGACTTAATTCCGTCAACAATGGTACCAAATGGGAAAGAACTGTCTGGAGACATTAGAAAGAGAATTATTTTATAGAAAAGGACCAGGGCAACATTAACATACCCTGAATGGACTTTAAAAGGGATGGAAACGTCCAGGTCCATGCAGTAAGCTTTTCGGCAAACAAGTCCCTCAAGCCTGACAAAGGCTGTGGAAAGCCAAACTGGACTAACGGTTGTTTTCAACATGATGAGGCCACCTCTGCATTCTTAGGAAGAACATGGTCAAAGTGCTGTGGCTCAGAGGTAGAGCGGGTCGGTCCACTAATTGGAAAGGTTGGTGGTTCGATCACCGGCTCCTGCTCACAGCATGTCCGAAGTGTGTCCTTTTTTTAGTAAGACTGCTCCTTTGCTATGAAGTCGTGTATTGAAATCGATTATTTCATGTTCTTGGTGAGCACGTTGGGCACCTTGCATCGCAGCCACTGCCATCAGTGTGTGAATGGTGTGGCATGTAGCGTACAGCACTAGAGAGAGTGGTCGAAAGACTGAAAGGCATTGCAGTCAGCTTCTTCCCAGTTGGACGTGTAAACTGGTGAAACGCACTGTTACCTGAATAAAATGACTAA